AGTAAGATGATGCGGATTTGACTCTCTGACATGCTCCATTACCTATTTAACATCTAAGGAGCGAGCGAATCGTAAAGGCATACTACCCATTCATCCTGCACGAAAGCAGCGATACTTTTCACCGCATCAAACGCGTCAGCTATAGGACGAGTACGTTAGCGTTACTTCTACATAAATTGAACAGTGGGAAAGTAGCACGGAGGATTTACCTGAGACGAAGAGAAACATCCTGAAGCCGGAAGAGAAACTCATCAGGAGCGGCTGCGTGAATGAACCGACAAGTTTCAGCGTTAGAATGATCAGCAATATCAGATGTATGATTCCAGCACTCAAATTGAGAACTGCTAACCAGTCGGGCACCCATTTCACGAACGTTGCTTTGGAAACCTACATTGGCTTTTGTTAATTTGCAGAATCACTTCAACATATTTAGTTTCACCGCAAAATGCAGCAAAATGCTCGATTGCTCGGCAGAACTGAGAGGACAGTCAGGACTAGTATATGCAGCAGAACGGATCGAAAGAAACTGGATTAGGCTCGATTATAATCACTGAACATCATTCTTAGGAGCACACCTTTGTGCCATTTGAGCACTCGGCAAGCCCCTCAGCGATATTGTATGCTCAAAGCTGCAATATCTGATGAACTAATCTGTCAGAGTGTCTTCCGCGATGTTCTGCGCTCCAAGTACGTATCTGATTCTTTTTCGTGCAATCTCTCTTATTCGTTTGTATAGGCAGAAATACTAACTGTCCATTCGTTATGCGACACATGCCTAGGACTAATAAATTTCATACTTGTGCTGTTTTTTGCGTAAAAAAACTTTTTACTAGCATTTACTCACAGACGTGTAGCACAATACGCTAGATTGTTTATAACAGACAATCTGCTTACCACAAAATTCGAGAACCATCGGTAATCCACCCATAAGTAAGTTATGGTTGGATGAATACTTGAAGCCGAAAGACAAAGAGTAATAATTCTAATCGGTGAATTCGCCTGTACCCGAAGAATGCACAGAATGCCTAGAAATGAATTTGTTTCTGCGCTAATTCATAAAAAAAGATGACAGAAAAGTCTGAATTCTTCTCTCAGAGAATATGCATTGCTGATCTTTGTTACACATCTTTGGATGGCAGCTTGTAAAAAAAAAGCTAACAATGAGTTAGATTCGTAGCGTATTCAGCACGCGGTATCATTTGCACTCGAAGCAAAAGATTTCTTCCTCGAAAGCAATTTCGGGCCAAGAAAAAGCCAAGGCTGATTGCTTCACATAATGAATTAGAACAGGACTTAATAAAAATTTTAGTAAGAATTTCGGACTTTCACCTTCAAAAAACGAGTGAAAAAACGATTCGACGAAAACATGCTCAAATATTGACTATTATGCACTGCTCTCACCAAAAACACCCATAGGTTTGATAAACAAAGCCGTGCTGGTAAGGACCAAGTGTTTTTCGTGCGATAATCGTATGAGGCTAAAAGAGTACTATTTCTGCTAATCGTTCTTTCGCCGCGAGAATAAACTGATATTGAAGAACAGTCAGGAAGTCAGAATTGCCATAAGCTTGTCTGTCAACAGTCTTCGGAAACAAAAGCAGCCAA